TAGTATATAATGAAGAATACTGCATTTCTTAATAGCCATACTTCCAATACATGTTTACTAATTGTTTTAATGTTATAGATAACTTTAGACTCCCCTTACTTAGCATGTGATGCCATGCTGACTCCGGGCATCTGTTTTCCTATTCAATTAAAATAAATATCCTATAGAGACTCATTTCCTGCTGTCTATTTTCTCTGTACATGCTTTGTAGGTAGTTAGAAGTAGGTTCTAGTTCTATCTCTGCTATTTAGTAGTTAGATGACCCTAGCCAAGTAATTCAGTTTTTGCATATGTAAATTGGGAATAATTATTCACAATGTGTTTGAGAGAGTTAGTCAAAAATATGAAAATTTGTGGCATATCTTCCTTCTCCTGACCCACCCACCCATAACCTGATTCCTCCTCTTCCAAATAGGCTAAGGATCAAAATTTCATGCCTGTCTGAGATATTTTTTAAAATCTGTTATTCAAGTGAATTCAGAAAAATATGATCAAAGAGCAATGTGCTATTTCTATGGACTTCACAATTTTGAAACAGTTACTTCTGGCTAGTGTTATAGGTTACTCTTATATACCCAAAGCATATTTTGGACATAAAATTGTTGCATTTAGAAAAGATAGCCAGTCGAAAGTAAAAAAAAAAAAAAAAAGAAGAAGAAGAAAAGCAAAAAGCTGTTTCAAAATATCCAATGATTCATTAAAATACTTTTGTTTCCTTAGGAAAAAAGTTTCCACATATGCACAGTAATCATTTGGCTTTTCTTAGGCTTAAGCCTTGGGGAGTTAGTGGTATTTGGCTCCTGACATGGAAGTCTTTCTCTTGTCAGACAAACCCTTTCCCCTGCACATTCCTGTGCAAGTTTGTTTCTGTTGCGCCTGATGGCAGGCTGCGAGGTGGCTGGGTACGGTTTGCACTGCCCAGCCGCCTCCTTCACACCGCTGCTTTAACCTCTTCCTGAGTTAGTCTTAGCTCTGTGGCTATTAACTTGCTCATTGTTTCTCTTTACTTGAGTGTCATTTTACCTGGACAATAGCCATTACTCTGCGATGGAGACGAGCCAGTTAATGTGCATTAAATAAACCAGCTTGTAGTTTTTGAAGTCCCTTTGGATGGGTTCTTTATTTTTGCTAACCATTCTTCAGGGTTTCATAAGAAGAGCAAGAACATTTCTGAGAGATTTGACTCTTTTTAGGGAATGATTGTGCGTTTTGAGAAAAATATGAGCTAGATTGCTTTTCAATGTTGTTTCGAGAAATCTAGGTTTTGATGATTTGAGATTTATTCTCAACATTTTGAACTTTCTATATTCTCAAGATAGAAGATAACACTAAGAAAGTTTCATTCCAGGGAACAAACACCAAAGTGATACGGAAAAGTGCACACGAGTAACATAGTTTTAAAAAAGGGCAAATAATTGATTTACAGTCTAACTTAGACTCTAAAGCATAGGTCATGGAAAGTAGCTGAGGCTGGAGTCCATGCAGAAGAATATTAGGATGTTGTGAATGTCAGCATATCGATCAATTGCTGTTTAGATTCTGTTCTGTTTTCTTCATGCTCAGACTCAGTGTTTGAAAAATGTATGCAAATTAAATGTTAGCATTTTAGGTAGCTATCAGGCCATTTGGATACTTTAGAATTTTCCCTTTAAACATTGATGTTGGTGGTAAGGCTATAAAATGTGTGTGTGTGTGTGTGTGTGTGTGTGTGTATTGTAAATGTAAATGTTTAAACTGATTCACTCTAATTTGTGAAAATTGCCCCAATTTTAATATGAAAAATGTATAAGAGGGAATGAATGATAAGTATTCCTCTTTTACTCCTTATTGGTAAATATGTCATAGGCTCCTTTTCATTTTTTTTGTTTGATAGTCTCCAGTCAAATTTAAGTAATTAGTAGACCTGCCTTAAAGAGTTGGGAGAATAATAACAAAAAAAGAAGTATATTTTATAATAGTTCCAAAAATTTTTACTTACATAGAGGAGTCAATGTAGACATTTTAGTAGAATCACAGGTGTTTGCATATCAAAAGGAATCATATATTAGTATATAGTCATATAAATGCATATGTGCATAGGCAGACATATTACATTTATATGATATATAAAAATATAGGGAATCAATGTGTCCATCAACAAAAGAATGATTTTTAGAAAATAGATTAATAAAAGGCATTATGATAGGGTAGCAGATTTTGCTCATTTTTTCCCATTTTATATTGAAAAGTATGTCATTTTTAGATTTATTTATTTGTATCCAGCCATTCAACAATGGTTTAAAAAGGAAAACATAAAATTAGTTTGCAATGATCAAATTCTACCATTTTAAATAAATAGTAAATGTATACACTAAATTTAACTACCATCAATTAAAAAATTAAAAAATATATTATTGGTATAGGTCATAATACTCCACTACATTTATATTAGGATTTGCAATTTAAACATTTTTACGTATGTACCAATTTAGTTTTATTTCATCTCATAATTGATTGCTAATTGGGATAAAGTAACGCATTGCCTTCTTTGGGTAATTAACACAGCCAGGATGAAAACAAATGAAATAACTGTGAAACTCAATTCTCACAAACTAAGGCTGAACTGGACATTAACAGAAAATTAAAATCAACTTCATAGATAATAATGAACTCTTGTGGACAGTGAAGCTACTCTGTAGATTAGTTTTACTTTCCTTCCCATATAAAAACTGCTTCTTTCTAATATGCCAGAGAATTAGGCAAAGAGTGTGTGTATATGCTTAATGTGGTATGACTCCGAGTAAATGCACATGTGCCCAGAGAAACAGGACTGTGATTTGACTAACAAATCATAATATTCATTTAATTTTATAACAGAATTTAAAGTTAGGAGTAACTTTAGAGGTCATTTAGATCAATCCCCTCACTTAATATTTTTTATTTATTGATTGATTTTAGAGAGAGAGGAAGAGAGAGCAAGATCGATTTGTTGTTCCTCCCACTTATGTTTTCATTGGTTGCTTCTTGTATGCACCCTGACAGAGGATTGGACCTGTAATCTTGGCATAGCGGGACCATCGGTCCCTCATTTTATATATAACTTATGCTACTGTGGTGTTTTTACTAATGGAGTTAGCTATAAACATGTTCAAATCTGTGCAAAGAGACTATAAGAAATATAACCACTCAATCATTACAACCATCTATTCAGCAGCAGAACATATACACTCACAAGGAATGAATTATCTACTTATCAATAGATAATCAAAGTGCTAATTATATTGATACATATTTTAAACAAAAAATCAATACACATATTTATAAATACACATATTTATAAATAGCAGCCCCAAAATAACAAGCAGTTGGTCATAATATACCTGAACATTTCAGGACTTACCTCATGCAAGAACAACATATTCACTGCTAGGGGAAAGAGTTTAGTTTATTGAATGAAGCATTTATAATTTGTGGCTACAGATTTTGAAGCTTAGAAACATAAGAGTTGGAGTTAGGTGTTGTGATAACATTTGTTATAAAAACTCAGTGATTAGTGAGTTTTCTAGAATGATTTATTTTTTCTACTCACATTTATTTTCCAGCATGCATTTTTTTCTGAAATTAAAAACATAGTATGACAAAGGATCAAGTTTTACAGGTATATAGATGACTCAGTGATTAGTGAGTTTTCTAGAATGATTTATTTTTTCTACTCACATTTATTTTCCAGCATGCATTTTTTTCTGAAATGTTGATAATAAAAGTAATGTGTGTTCGATGACAAATGTTTGGAAATACTGAAAAGCAAGAATAAGAAAATAACAACGAAATTTATAATCTTCAGCATTATCTCCTTATATCTAGTTCACATTAAAGTTGTTGATAATAAAAGTAATGTGTGTTTGTTTTTCAATAAATTTCCACCTTTGCTAAAAAAAAGAAAATAACAACGAAAAACTTACCAGACAGAAAAACAATACAGAATACATTTTGGCAATTTTTATTCTCACAGTAGATACCCCTCCCCTGCTCTTCTCCATCACATACATGTACACACATATGTAAATCTGCATATTTTTATTACACATTCTGACTCCACCACTTACATGCTCGGTGAGCTTTGGCAGTTCACTTCTCTGTGCCTTTGTTTCTTCATGTTTAAAATGTGGAGAATAGCAATAACTGCATTATAGAATTGTAAGGATTAAGTGGGGCAATTAATAAGTATAAAGTTTTGTAAGTGTCTGGCATAATATTTTAACTATTAGTATCACTATTATTATATGTTTAAAAATGTGTTAATCATCCAAATGTTCTCATTTTTATTTGAAAGCCACACTAGCCATTGCTAGCATCTTGTATTATTTTCTGTAAGCCACAACAATACCCTTTTTCCCTCTATGATAATGGTGGTAAGTGGAACATCTGAAAAATATGTTCCATGCAAAATGGATCTTCACACAGACTTATTTTGTCATTTTAGTTTGATTTTTGAGAAATGAGTTGGGCACATCTGCCAAATCCTTTTATAAGATGCTACATTCCTGTTTTTATTTTAGTTTATTTCATTTATGGAAAGTTCTTTTCTTCTCCACCCCACCCTCAGATAATTAGGCCTCCATCCCCCATTTCTCCATGTCCCAAACTATAGTTGCCATACGTTAAATGTTTAAAATAAAAAGTGGAAGAAAAACGGGGAAGGAATCTGTCTTTGTTTGTTTGTTTGTTTGTTGTAAAGTCATCCTTCTTTTGGTATATCTAGATTAACAAAAAACTTTCACACTCTGGAAATATATAATTTGATAAAGGACTTCAATTTTTCTTCTAAATTTGAAGTATATGTTTTTGAGGGTGGGAAGGAGAAGGTTGGTTTGGGGAAGGGAATAATGGGGTAAAGCAGATGAAGAATCAGTTTAAGAACATATGTTAATATATATATATATTTTTTAATTGAAAGGTTAAATAGTTAATGCTTTTTTACAAACTGTCTTTGATACTGTGTTTTGTTTATTCCATCCCAGAAAAAGTTAGCGGTATACAGCAAGATGCAGGACTCTCTGGAAGTCACCCTTCCCAGCAAACAAGAGGAGGAGGAGGAGGAGGATGAGGAGGAGGAGGAGGAGGAGAAAGACCAGCCTGCCGAGATGGAGTACCTTAACTCTCGCTGTGTCCTTTTCACTTATTTCCAGGGAGACATTGGGTCAGTAGTGGATGAACACTTCTCAAGAGCTTTGGGCCAAGCCAGCACCCTCCATCCAGAATCTGCCATTACAAAAAGCAAGATGGGGCTAACCCCCCTATGGCGAGGTAAGAATTTAAAAGCAGATGTTCTCCGGGGCCCTGTCTCTGTTTCGCAACTGCCTGTACCAGTTTCCAGCTGGAGATTTGCCCCTGAAGGACGGATATCCACTTGCTTTTTAATTTTTAAGGACAGCAAGGAATTTCTTTCAGACAAACAGCTGGATCAGTTTTGTCACATGTGGAATGCAGGGTTGGAAAAGATGCAGTCACACCCCTTAAATTCCTCATGGAAAATAGTGATGCAACCAGCCGGAGTTTATAGTGGCCGGATCTAGCTGCGAGGCACCATTCCTTAAGCCCCCATGGCCCAATTTGGATGTCTAAATAACAGGCGTGCCTGGATCAGCTTTTAAAAATTAGCTCTTGCTCATTCCACTAGGTGCTACGTGGTGACATAGCAGAGATCTGAGTCTGGCCCAGGAATACCAACTTTGAAAGCCGTCTCTGTTTTCTCGATAGCTTTCCCTGTCCTGCTTTGTTGTGTATTAACTCTTTGTCCTGTACAATCCAGACATTACTGACTATATCTACATGGTTTGGACCTTGGTGAAGTAAAACAATAGATTGGGCATTCTCTTCTTTATTTCTCTCTGTATAGAGGTCACAGAGGTGTGTTTGAATCTGATTGCTAGCTCACTGAAAATTGTTGGATGACATCTTAATTGGGATAATTACAAGGCTAGAGAAAAAAATAATACATCATTCCAATGGTAGTTTTAGAGAAATGTGTTATGGACTTTTTTTCTGAACTCACTAGGTTATTTGAAGCATCTAGTCAAATGGTTCTCAAAGTGTGGTTTCCAGGATGAGGAACATTGGCCTCACATAGGAGCTGATTAGAAATGCAGGTTCCTGGACCACACCCCAGACCTACTGAACCAGAAACTCAGGGGTAATTTGTGTTTTAACCAGCCCTCCCAGTGATTCAGATGCAGGCTCCCATTTGATAATCATTGATTGGGGCCTGTTATAAACACAGATTGCAGGTCACCTAACTCAGTCCTACTGAATCAGTGTTTCTAAAGGAAGGCTTTGGGAATCACACTTTAACAAGTGCTGCAGGTGATCCTATGATGAGGAAAAGCTACCTGTGGTTGGGGCAGGTGAGAGGTGGTGAGTGGTTGGTCTCCTCTCAGCATCAGAGGAATGGTTCTGCTCCTTTGTAGGGGAGATTTTGGCCATATGAAATTGCTGGGCCTGATCTGTAGATAGGATGACACCTCCCTCCCTCCCTCCCTCCCTCTCTTCCTGTAAATAAGAAGAATACTAAGATAAGCAGTGACTATAACCAGAAGGAGGACTACAAATTCAAGTGACTGAGTCTTGACAGAGATGGATTGGGAATCATAACTGCTTATTTGATTAATACATATTACAGACTTCCCAAAGAACTGAGATCTTAGTCCTTGGAAACATAAGATGTTACGTAACCAACCAATGTTCTTCTTGATAGTACATGATGAATACACTTAATAACTTGGAAAGGGTAAAAATAAGAAAACTTTAATGAATTAGCTGACTTTAATAGTTTGTTATATCAATAATAGATCCTATCAGGATATTTTTTCCTAGGAGAGTAATAAATACAGTGCCTATTTCTTTTAGAATACTGGCATAGGCAACCCTAGTAATCATTTAACCTGGGATGCAGGAACCAGAGCCCAAAATTATAGCTATATGTGAGCGTGATTGTCTATACTATAGTATTATAACTAGAATAGTTTTAAGTGAGGTATAGTATATATGCAAAAACTCTACAGTTCAGTGTTTTTTCTGTAATATGCATGACTGAATAGAGAAGGCATTTGGGCAGATATCAAATTTCAGTATAGAGAGGGTAAATAAGGTAATGTTTTAGTAACTATTGTTACAGTTTTCTTGGCATTATTTTAAATTTGGCTTTCAAATCTATCTCCTCTTTTATTCATTGACTTACACAGCACATCTTTATTAGGGTCTTACTATGTTCTAGGTAGAAGGGCTATATCAGTGCACGAAGAGTCTAAGGCTCTACACTCATGGAGCTTATTAGTGAAAGAGACAGGTAACAAATGTGCAGTGGAACCCAAGGGAATTAGGGTAATAATAGATGTTCTCTCTAAGACCATTATATTTGAGCATATATCTGAAGGAAGAAAGAGTGTTCTGCACCACATGAATATCCAGGGGAAGATTATGTGAGGCAGAGGGAACATCCAGTGCGAAGACCCTGAGTAAAGACTGCATTTAGAATGTTTAATGCAAAGTAAAATGCTGGTGGGTGTGGAATGCAGTGAAAAGTGAGAGGCAGAAACAAGAATCTTTAGAGTTGTTTATGTCAGTTTACCAGAGTAGCACAGGCAAACACACTGTGCTCTTTGACTTCCGTTTCTCCATCTCGCACTAATTATTTCCCTAACACTTGGGATAATGCATTTCTATAAGGAAGATCTGGGATAAATATGAATTGAATGATTAAGTGACTGACTTAGATAAACCAAGTTCATACCATGTACCCCAGATTAGAAAACAAAAGTGTCCTCAATGGAGAATTTATTAGCAATATCTTGTATGAAATCATTGATTACAGTTTTGTTATTTGTAAAATAAGGGGGTTGAATTAAGTGAGTACTGAAATCTTTTCTCTGTAAAGTTCTGTGATTTCAGATGTATTATTTACTTCCCATTTGTGAATAGAACTTTGCCATCGTTGTTTCTAGTTGTGATTCCGTTGTTTCTAGTTGTGATTCAGTCATTTTTAGATAAACCAAACATAACTTGGATACAATTCATAGATTCACAAAATAAAGGTTTAGAAAATAATATCTTAAAAAGAGGTATAATAAATTGAGACCCCATGTCTAACAAAGAGAGTTATGGGGAGTTTTGGATTAATTGCCTAAGTCATACAGGTTTGGTTAATGCAGTCTTTGGGTTCTATTTGTTTTGGGTTTAAGTTTGGGCTTTCTTACTGTCTGGTCAATGTGATTTGGAATTAATTACTTAAAATCTCTCTGGGCTCAGTTTTGCCTATATAATATGTGTTTATTGATATCCATTTCCTGGGGTTATAATAAATAGTTTTTAATAATGTGTGTGGAGAACTTGGCATAGGGCTTGATGCAAGGAGCTAACTGAAGGTCAGGTGCATTTTCTCTTTTTCTTGTGTCCACTCATTTTGCACATAAAACACAAACCTTGGGTCTTTATACAGAAAAATTGTGTCTAGAAGTTTGTATTTCTGGCAAAAGCACAGTGTGTTGGACATAGTAGGTACTCAAGGCTATTGACAGCGTTGCTGGCCATTGTGGTAATACTTTATGCAGGAGCTGCTGACCAGCTGCATTAAATTATAGGGTCTAATTTATGGCATGAAATTTTTACAGTGCCACACAAGTGCTATAGTGCTACAAAGGAATTTAAAACTGAATTATGTTTGATTGCAGAATATATTACACAGTAAATCTTCAGGCAAGAATAGAATGTCAGCTAATAATGGAATAATGTTTATACTTTGTGTATCTTGATGGTGTGAGGAAAGTCCTGTTTAGGTGTTTTGCAGCTGTTAGGCAAACAATTGACAAGAAATATTTGTATTTTGGCATGATATAATATCAATTCTTTCATATTTCACTACACATTCTAGCAGAGATTGAATAAGGCATCTCAGTTAAGAAAATCTAATGAATCCCATTGTCCCCTTATCCCCATCCAAATAGAAACATCAGCTTCAAATGTCTATGTATTGATCTCAGTGCCCCAATAATATTACAGAAGGTGTGTGTGTGTGTATGTGTTTGTGTGTGTGTGTGTAGGAAAGGGGAGACGTTAAGTTGAGCCACAGCAAAACAAATCACTGATTTAAAAACCATACTGAGCCCGGCCAGTGTGGCTCAGTGGTTGATCATCGACCTATGAACCAGGATATCATAGTTCAATTCCCAGTCAGGGCACATGCCCGGATTGTGGGCTCAATCCCCAGTAGCAGGCGTGCAGGAGGCAGAAAATCGATGATTCTCTCTCATCATTGATGTTTCTATCTCTTTCTCTCTGAAAGCAATAAAAATAGATTTAAAAAAGAAAAAGAAAATTATGCTGAATAGTAACATATTTACTGACATCTTTTCTTACTGTAGCGGCAAAGCAATTGTTGCTTGATTGATCTAGTAGTGTGTGCTTGGAGCAACTCATTCTGGCCGGAAAGACCTCTCTAAATGAGTAATAACTTAAAACAGCAAAAGGGCGAGGGGGAGAAGAACTGGTTTTCTGAGCCACTGAGGCTGGGAAGGAGAAGGGGGAGCCAGATCTCCAGAAGGCCCTGCTGGGACGTGTAGTGGGACGTGTAGAGCAGGCACATGGAAGGAAAGTGCAGTCTGAGGTGCCTCCAAAGAGTGTGGTGTCTGCTGTTACCTTTGAATCTCTTATTTTAGAGTCACAAGACCCATTTTGAGCTACTCTCGAACAAAGTAGATAGAGGGCAATGTTTGGAGATAATGGTAATGCCTAATTCCCGCCTGACAGAAAGCATTGGAACACATGTCCTTTCACCTCTGACCCAACAATTTATTTTCATGGGAAGCAGGACGAGAGGATGGGAATTAAATTATAGGGAGGACCCTTTAGGTTGAAAATGCGGTAGCATTTTTTTTCACTGAGATTAATAAAAAGATAAATGCTACCTTTTAACATTGCTGTTTTAAGTCAATATTTGTTCTAAAAATATGTTTTCTGAATGTTTTTAAGATAATTTGATAGTGGTCCTATAGCATTTTATTGTCCCATTTTCCCACTTAATATAGTTCTTTTTCCAAAATTAAGTGATACAGTACTTAATTAAAAAAATAAATGTTGAATTTTCTCTTGCTTATATTGTTTGCCCTTAGATTTTTTTAAAGAGACATTTAGAGTTAACGTAAAAAGTCTCCCAGCTACTATGAATTGAAAGAATCATTTGATGGCCCACATTAAATTCTTCTATATTTCTAATATATATTTCGGGTATAAGTCACACAGTGAAGTTACTGGGTATATTTTGGGTGGGTTGTAGTGGATAATGTATCACGTTTGTCATTTTGTTGTTTAGGAATAAGGGTGTGTGTGTGTGTGTGTGTGTGTGTGTGCGCGCGCGCATGTAGTATTTTTCAATCCCAAATGCAAGCTGAATCAATGTACAGATTTTTGTACGTGTCAGATTGTCAGTGTTAACATCATCCAACTGTCAAGTAACACTGATCCCACAGTCACCCTGGAGAGTTAACATTGTTCAGTCTGAATTGCCTCCACTAACCTGAAAAGTAATATTGCATGGAAATAGCTCATACAGTTTCTCATATGCTTTTTCATCCAACAAATGTGGCTGTGATTAAGTTCTTGTGAGCAAAGACTCACGTAATGAAAAAAAATTTACATATATATGAAATAAGTACACTGATTCCCAGGCATGAAAAGAAGCATGTCATCTGTTTCTTTGTATCAAGATTTTTTCTTAACAATCAAGATAGCCAATAGTGGTTTTGAAGTTTAGACTTGTCCTTATATATTTTCTATTCAGTATCATTTCATTTACTTGTAAAATGTAACATTGTTTTTGAAACGGCTGCATATTATACTAATCTCAGGAGACATACCAACTGGGAAAATACTAAGTTGCTTCTAATTTTATTTTTCCCTAAGGCATTTTAAAGCTTTGTTCAGACTTTATGAAGTGCATTTTTAAAAATAGAGTTTCAGTTTCAATGACAATGTGTTCACTAATCACAATACAATACTTCCTAAATAGGACAAGATTTTTGGTAAGGAATTTGTTCATTATTCACATTTGTACATGTATATCCAAAATGCTTAGGCATCTATAAAATAAAATTGGGCCCATGTACATATAAATGAAAAGAAATAAAAGGAGAGCAGCCAGAGAAATGACATATACTCTCTGTACTTTGGATATTTTAGTGGTGGCTTTTACTAAGGAACTCTATCTCTGGCACACACCCACGGGTTGGGTTCAGCAATGTTTATATAGGATTTTGGCCTCACTAGGAGACGACGGTTACGAGTAGAATGAAGGATTTGGTACCAAAGATTGGATCTACGAGAGCAAAATGGCAGATTGGTGGTGGCAAAGCTGCATGTATGATGTAAGGAGCCTCTATAAACTCCTTGTATGGGTTTTAAACTTTACACATTGACAGCTTCCATTGTGGGTGTGAGAGAAATATTCCATAATGAGCCTCACTTAAGGCAAATTGAATTTTCTTCTCACAGCTTATGCAATTTTCTTTCTTGTCATTAGCAGCTATTTTTCATATGTCAAAGAAGACCATTCTTAAATAAAAGGTATATGCTCCAGTGCCAGGAAGTTTGATTTTAAGTGCTATTTTCTGATGGATTGTGGTTGTGACAAAACAAATTCACTCAATGGGGAGTTTGCCAGGACTGTTCGAAGACTTGAAGAACGGCGCCCACTTCTATCCTTTGCCTTTGGAAGACTGATATTTCCTAGGTTTCCCAAGGGAGTTGAGGTCCACGGAGATTCTGTGGGGGAGAGACTTGATTGTGAGACAGGACTCTGTCCGTCCATAGGATGGATGGAGTGAATGATGAACGCTCTGAGCAGACGGGAGAGAGTGGGAAAGTTTGCAGTGCTAGTGCCACAGCCTTTAGGGAGGTTAGAGAAAGGAAATGTTTGAATACCACAGCAATATCCTCATTATGTTAGTCAAGTTACAGATGTGGTGGTTGATTCACATTATACAAGCTTTCCCTGAAGTTAAACAAACAAACAAACAAACTGGCCTGGAAATTTATGAAGTGAGAACATGGATATGTCAGATTTCTGAATGCTTTTATTTCAGAGTAGTTCTTAGGACAGTGATGGCGAACCTATGACACGCGTGTCAGAGGTGACATGCGGACTCATTTTTTTGGTTGATTTTTCTTTGTTAAATGGCATTTAAATATATAAAATAAATATCAAAAATATGTCTTTACTATGGTTGCAAATATCAAAAAATTTCTATATGTGATATGGCACCAGAGTTAAGTTAGGGTTTTTCAAAATGCTGACATGCCGAGCTCTAAAGGTTTGCCGTCACTGTCTTAGGATGTCCTTTATTCAATGGAAAGATCTTGCAAGTTTTTTTTGTTTTGTTTTGTTTTGTTTTTGTTTGTTTGTTTTTCTTGTTTGTGTGTGTGTGTGTGTTTGTACCTAGTATAAAAATACTGTCTTACTTTACAAGCATGACTAATATTCTAAGCAACCTTATCTTAATCTATAGATAGAAATAATTTATAGGCCACTTTACAGAGTGATAGAAGTATGGAGTCAGAAGATATTTAGAATTTTCATTCAAGTGCCTCAGACTTTTAGTAGAAGACTGAGCCACAGAGAGGTCAACAGATCCTTTGGGGTCATAAAATGAGATAGGATTGCCCTAGTCAGTTTGGCTCAGTGGTTAGAGTGTCAACCTATGGACTAAAGGGTCTTGGGTTCGATTCTGGTCAAGGGCACATACCTCGGTTGTAGGCTTGATCCTTGGCCCCAGTAGGGGCACATGCAGGAGGCAACCAATCCGTGTGTCATTTTCACATCAATGTTTCTCTGTCTCCCCACCTCCTTTCCACTCTCTCTAAAAATCAATGGAAAAAACTATCCTCAGGTGAGAATTAACAACAACGAAAACAAATAAAAATGAGACAGGATAAGAACTGAGTGCTAGTTTTCTGACTGAGCTCTCTAGACTCCCAATCCAGTGCTCACTCGTTCCCACCACACCATGGGCCACAGGCTCCCACTGGTGGTGTAAGTCTTCCTAAATGGAGATCCGACTATATCACTCTCCAGATTAAAGCCTTTCAAAGCTCAGTGACCTTCTCAGGACAGCACCCATATTCAGTACATGGCTGGCAAGGTCATACCCATCTGTGCCCTTCTTGGATCCTCGTCTAAATTTTTTCCACCCTTTGCCCACAGAACTCTTTTTAATCCTTCAAATGGCACTTTGCATGTATAGGGTGTGTGTGTGTGTGTGTGTGTGTGTGTGTGTGTGTGTGTAATTTTTGGTCTTTTTTTCACATAATTTTTTATTTGCCTAAAACACTCTTCACTACTTCTCCCCAAGGCTAGCCTTACTCTTCCTTTCAATTTAGCTCTCTCTTTCTTAGGCTTCCAGGCCCTCGCTCTGTGCGTTCCTTTATGAGAGCACCTACCATGTCACATTGCATGTGCGATTTATTGTCTGTCCTCTATCAGGTTGTGATTAAAAATGACATCTCTTGACCATCTGTGTTTGGTACGTAGTAGGTCTTCCATAAATATGTTACGAGGATTGAGTGGAGAAAGTGAATTGAAGCGGAGTCGGGGAAGGTTATCACTATTATTTTCCCTTCCCAACACCTTCTCAAATCCATCACTCCTCCTTAAATCTTGATTTCCACAGGATCTTCACCAAAATCTAATGTTCAGGTTATAGTGACAAGTGTGCCCTCTTGTGGCACAGTTATGAAGACTGCTGGCCATCCAGGAGGCAGGCTACCTGTTTCAAAGCTCGTTTTCCTACTGGCCAGCTGTGAAGTCTTGGGCTTCTTACCTGCCTCGATTTCCACATGGATAAAATGGGAATAACAGTAACAACAAGATAACAATAACTACCTGAAGGGAGGATTCGTTAAGATCATCCATGGAAACTGTTGGAAATTTGGTCACTATCCTTAAGTGTTAGCTATTACTCTTATAGACTCTCAGAACTCCACAGAAAAAAATAAGCTTAGAATACTCTTTCTGATGGAAAATGAGTGTCAGTGAGCATAATTAAATGCAACCTTGTTTCCATTTGTTTCTTTCAGCATTAAAATGTTTAGTTTGAATGAAAATTATATTTGCATTTAAAGGAAGTTAGTAAGCACCATCATTTCCAACCTACTCGAACATCATCTATGGCATACGTTTTCTTTACCTAGGACTAAGGACCTAGGATCTTTGCTCAGACTTGGTGGCAGCAAGTCACTCAGGAGGAAATGAAGCTTTTCAATCCCAACTTGGAGACCTTAATATCAATTGTGACTGCATAAACTGCACAGACTAGGGCGGGGGGGACTCAACACCGTGAACCCTGCGGTTGATGTGGCCTGGGAGCTCAGAGGCTCACCTAGTCTCAACCCACCTGTGTGGGGACTGAAAGTGCATCCTGATTAGTCTGCTATACAATATTGGACATGTGGAGGCAAGTCTCTCCCAGAATGGAATCTTATGTAAATAATTTATTTTTCTGTCTTCTCAGACAGCTCAGCTCTCGCAAGTCAGAGGAGTAGCTTCCCGACTTCCTTTTGGACCAGCTCTTACCAGCCCCCTGCACCCTGTTTAGGGGGAGTTCATCCTGATTTCCAGGTCACTGCACCCCCTGGCACCTTTACCACAGCGGACCCCAGTCCCTGGCCGGGACATGGCCTGCACCAGACTGGCCCAGCCCCTCCCCCTCCTGCGTCTGAGTCTTGGCACTACCCTTTGGCATCTCAGGTGAGCCCATCCTACAGCCACATGCATGATGTGTACCTGCGGCACCACCACCCCCACGCTCACATGCACCACCGGCACCACCACCACCACCATCACCACCACCACCCTTCTGCTGGCTCTGCCCTGGATTCATCCTACGGGCCCCTGCTGATGCCATCAGTGCGAGCAGCCAGGATTCCTGCTCCCCAGTGTGACATCACAAAGACAGATCCGACGACAGTCAGCACTGCTACCTCAGCGTGGGCCGGAGCCTTCCACGGAACTGTGGACATAGTGCCAAGTGCGGGGTTTGATACAGGTGAGCTGGGGGAACTCCCCCTTTTCATAAGAGAAAAAGTTAGGAAATAAATATTTAAAAGAGGGGATGTTCTAAGTACCTTGAAATATTTTTTTCTTATGTGTAAAGTTAAGCTTTGCCAATATGCTTATAGAACCTAACCGTTTGCAATAATTCCTGCATCCCTACAGAAACTGGTGTGAGTAATTCATGGAGTACAGTCTGAGGAAGCTAGTGATATGTTCCTTTGGACTGGAATCTTTGGTACTTTATGTTTATAAAGTATTGAGCATATTCTCTAAATCTCCCTCCTCTCTGTGCTCTATGCTATGTGCAATGCCTAATAGAATCACAAATAGTATGCTTCAGTCATTTTTCTTTCTTTTCTTTTTTGTTAGGTCTTATTTATGGTTTATAAAACAAAACAAATTGCCTCCTGGAATGTAGTCCATGGTCCACTCTTTTGAAAAAGATTAGGGGATGTATTTTTTAAAAAACTGTATTTTTCTTCCCTTTTTTGCCCTTTTGTCCCCCCCTTTCTCCTCCTCACTTCTCTCTCTTTCTCTCTCTCTCTCTCTCTCTCTCTCTATCTCTCTCTCTCTCTCTCTCTCTCTCTCTATAAAACTACTATAAAGTTTATATTCAACAGACTTATAAAAATGGTAAGGGAAATATTTATTCCTAGAGTATTCAGCTCCTCTGGAATTCACTGGTTCTGAAGGTCATGGTGTTAAATGTTTGAGCTTGGTTTTTGGACGAGACTGTCATATTAATAGTATTAATAGTTCTGAGTTCACAAAATCATAGGCTTCAGAAGCTAAAAAAGGACCCATCAAATCAGTGATTACATCCCCAGAGTCTACATTCCAAAGTCACCCCCTTCACCTCCAGTCCCAGGTTCTTCCCCTGGAACATTTTGGGACACATTAGAACTTTCTTTCCAGAAGTTTAGAGAAAGTCACTCTTTCCTTGTTGTTTTTTCTGTAGTATGCAGGGTCTTTAACCTGAGTGCTGGTTCACAGAAGAGAACCCCCCAGAGGAATGGATGCCCAGCATCAAGTGGCATTCACTCTGACGGGAGTGGAACAGTCCAAGCTTGGCTATTGCTTCTGCACTGAGCTTTCCAATGTTGGTCCGTGCCTGGCCCCATCTAGTTCAGCTTCCTATTGAGTCTCTGGTTCAAACTGCTTTCCTAAGAAACTGTCAGGGGACTTGGTTCTCTCTCTCTCTAGGAGAAAAGAATGTGGTGGGGCTAACAACAGGCTTCCCTTCTTTCTTAGCCGCATACTAGCAGGATGAAGGCAACTCTTGAGTTGTTGGATGCCTGGGGCCAGATCTGAGTAGAGTTCCAGTTTGGTAGCTGCGATCCTGAGTTGCCAATTTCTGGAGGCTCTTTCCTATTATCCTTCCGTGGTACCTGCATGGCCACACTTAATGCCTTTAGTAGGCAAAAAGGATGTTCTCTCCTTTCTTAGTCACTTTGGGCTGCTATACAGAATACCATACTCTGCGTGGCATAAACAGCAAACATTTAGTTTTCATAGTTCTGGAAGCTGGAAAGTTCAAGGTCAAGGTTCTGGCACTTTCAGTGTCTGGTGAGGGCCCACTTTCTGGTTCACAGACTCTGTCTTCTCAATGTGTCCCCAGATGGCATAAGAGACAAGGGAGCTCTCTGAAATCTCTTATAAGGGCACTAATTCCATTCATGAGGGTTCTGCCCTCATGACCTCATCACCTACCAAAGCTCCCATCTCCTAATACTAGCACACTGATCATTAGGATTTAACCTATGAATTTTAGGGGGACAAAGACATTCAGTCCAAAACATCCCCTCTGTGCATTCTAGAGCATAAAGACCGAAAATGGTGTGATTGCTTGTTGCTCTCTCTTTCTAATTGTCTGTCACCTGTTACCTACTTTTGTAGTTGTCAACTTTGGGCTGTGAGAAGAATTGGGTAGCAGTCTTGCTATGATTATGTTTAATTGCATCGTAGTTGATTCTACAGGGATCTCTGGAGCCCAGATGGCTTTTTATAATTGTCCTGCCTTAAGTCGAGGTGGATGGGCTTTTTTTATACCTGCATTGACTGGTTATTGGATGGTTTTGCCTATTGAAAGGGGAAATGATGTTAGGCAAGATGGCTTTATTCAGCTGAAGGTAATTCCCAAAGAGAGAAACAGCTGAAAGTCATGAGCTGACAACAGAGGGGAAATGAATGTTTTAACATGGAATGGGGACGGATCAGTGGCCCATCACAATATCCATTATAGGGGGACAAAAAAAGAGTAGTAGCTCTTCTTCCACTTCTCTCACGACTTATTAAATAACAGAAGTTTCTGTGTAATAGGCCCAAGCTAGGGAAGTAGGTTAGTTGAGAAGAATGAGACATAGGTTCCTCTATCCAATCTATAAAACATTGACTGATTGTGCAGCCCAAAACAGTGGCTCAGCTCAGGACTCAGCACCAATGTCGGGTGGCTACCAAGCGGCTGAGGGAACAGCCTACATTCAGGTGAGACAGCTGTGAAACTTCTCATAACCCAGGTACATTCCATTAGGAAAGAAATTAATGCAACCATTTTGAAAGCAATTTGGTTATGGATATGACATTTTCATCAGTAGGGGAAAGGTTTAATAATGCTAGGTGCATTTTTATTTTGCAGTCATCTGTAGGAAACCTGGAAGGTTGAACATAATATAAAGCTTAATGACTAAAGAAAATTTTAGAGTATCATGTATGATAAAACCCAAGGGTCAGCAAAAATTTTCTGTAAAGGGGCCTGATAGAAATATTTAATGCTTTACAGGATCATACTGTCTGTCACCACTACTCAGCTTTGCTTTTACAGTGTTGAAGCAGCCACAGAGACTTAACTAAATGAGGATGGCTGTATTCTCATAAAACTTTATTGATGGACACTGAAATTTGAATTTTGTATACTTTTAATGTGTCATCAAATACTACTTTTGATTCCCTTCTTCCTTGATCATTTAAAAATATATAATCCATTTTTCCATACTTAGCTCATGAGCTATGTATATAAACAAAAAATGGGCCTGATTTGGCTTATGAGCTGTAGCTTTCTGACCCCTATATAATCCCATGTGTGTAATTTTTATCTATCCACACAAGCTCATGCGCACGCGCACACACATACACATTTGCACCTTGCACTTCCTCAATTAAAATGATCTGAGTATATGCCCCTAGTTTATGATTGCTTATTAGTATTAGCAATCATTAAGTGGGCCTGATTGGC